TATGAGGCGGAAACACCTTGGTGGAACCTTTAGGTAAGAATTGAGCCAAGACACAGTGTTAGGGGAAGGAGTGGTAGTATCATCTAACATTAACATGTATAGTCTCAATAAGAATATGGCTGCCTTATCTTTAGGGGAAACAACTACAGGTCTTTAATTCACCTGGCGGGGCCTCCCTTCAAGCTGAGTGAAAGGAGGGACTAGGTGCTTAAAGACAAAACAGAATCAGAAATATTAGCAGATTCCACTGTAGAAGGTGGCACAGGGTGCTTTCAGCCCTTGTGATTGCACCGAGTCATAAATCCTTGCATAACAGAAGAACACACCTTTGCTGTAAGAAATGAGTACCCCAGGATTAAAGGGGGGTGGGGGGGTTTGAAACAGCCACCAGAATAGGAGGATCCAACCTGACTGAATGAAGTGCAAAGAGCATCCCGTCAGATATAGGGAAAGGCAAACCAGACCCCAGCTTTGGTACCAAAAACTCAGCTAGGAATCTCCAGAAGTACTGACTTGAAGCAAAGCCCTGTGTTAACTTACTGTGCAAACTGACTGCAGGACTGTTGCAGAGAGAACATCAGTATACTTAATGAACTTGGAAAACCTGCGCTCGATGGCTAACTGGAGATACTTCCAGGTTTCCAATATCCGGCCTGAATCTACCAGTTGGTGTTGATGGAAAAAAAAAACTCTTCCAAAAACTCTTCCAATTCACAAAAAAACATAGCAGAAGAGAAACACCTATCCATTCTCCTAAGAACACACAGCAAAACTGAGCAGGTGTGAGGGGCAATAGCCTTCAAATCCCTATGTGCCTAGTGTCATTTGTGCAAAAGGCAGCAGTAAAACGCGTCCTGCTGTAGGGAGCTTGTAGTGAGTCGGTTCGGTTCACTTACAACTGCCGGACGGCAACTAGTTGCAACAACTTTGAAGAAAACAAGACAATGTTACTTAGAGGCCTGTCTTTTTATAATGAATCTCTACCCTAACCTTTCTCTAATTTTTGCAAGTGTAGAGGACTCGATCCACCCAGGAAATTGACAGGAACTTCCAATCCTACCCCAAAGCTTTTATTAGCAACTTTTGCTCTTCTAAAGCCTAACAAATTCTCCACAGGGATATACTGTGTAAGGAGAAATCACTGCAGCAAGTGAAACAGGAACCTTGGCTCCCAGCCAATTAGGAATAAGATTAAGTGAGGAATACAGGAAGTGCAGTGAAGATAGGGCGTGAGAACTTGCCCAACTCTATGTAAGGAAAAGCATGAGAAGTTTACATTAGTAACATACCAATTTCTATTCCATCTATAGTAACATGTATGGTGTAAAGGCCAACCGCTCCAGGAGTCCAGTTTGCACAGTACGTGCCATCATTGTTGACTCTTATTAACATGTTCTCACTTGGCCTGTAAAAGATAAAATGAATAACCAATATTCTTACACATATTTAACAGCAAGCACCCCTCTGCTAAAAATGACTATTGAATATGCTCACTCACAATTAATGCTCAAATTGTAGGATAGACTGTTTAACTGTGTTGAATTTGGTAATACTGGCTGTCATGTGGATTTGTAACTATTCCAAAGTTATAATGCAATACGTGTTCTGACTTGTCAAACAGCAGCATTCCTTACGTTATTCAAAAGTTACCCAAAAGGCAAGTAGTAAATTATAGATGTGCAATCATAAATTACCACAAAAGATAAAACCATGGAAAAGAGAAAGTGCTTTGCACACAAAACTCCAAAAACCTACCGTTTGGGCATAGGCGAGGCGTAACGGAGTTCTTCAAATGAGTAGTTTTCATATGCCTACAAATGAAAATAAGCAGGAAAAAAAAATGAACATCCAAAAACATCATTATCTTCCAGAAATGTAAAATGCCCAACAGGTCATTATGGTTACTACTGAGCAGATAGGTCAATTTTCAAGCTAAGAAAATTACCTCCGGGTTATGAACTTTAACAAACATTTTTTGTAGGAATAACATGTGCTACTTCAAATGCCTAATGTGTTATGAACATTTCCAGAGGATACAAAAGTCCATGCATCTAAACAAACTAAAAACCAAACATGTGTCTACCTTTTGGCTTGTGCCGCCAAAAGTTCAGCTCTATCACTAGGTACATAGCTTCTTTCATTATTGAGCAGATTCCAGCCTAATTATCATTTTTTTAAATGTACCCTTAAAAAAAAATAAAATAAAT